AAAAAAAAAAAAAAAAAGAATCCCGGCTCGTGGGCAGTACCTATGGCTCAGTGGGTAGGGCACTGATCCCATATACCTAAGGTGGCAGGTTCAAACCTGGCCCTGGCCAAATTGCAACAAAAAAAACAGCCAGGCTTTGTGGCGTGTGCCTGTAGTCCCAGCTACTCGGGAGGCTGAGGCAAGAGAATCACCTAAGCCCAGGAACTGGAGGTTGCTGTGAGCTGTGATGCCACAGCACTCTACCAAGGGTGATAAAGGGAGACTCTGTCTCCAAAAAAAAAAGATTCCAGGCTCAGTGCCTGTAGCTCAGTAAGTAGGGCGCCAGCCACATACACCAAGGCTGGCGGGTTCGAGCCTGGCCTGAGCCTGCCAATCCAACAGTGACAACTTCAACCAAAAAATAGCCAGGCATTGTGGGAGGTGTCTATAGTCCCAGCTACTTAGGAGGCTGAGGCAAGAGAATCACTTAAGCCCAAAAGTTTGAGGTTGCTGTGAGCTGTGATGCAAAAGCACTCTACCAAGGGCGACATAATGAGACTCTGTCTCAAAAAAAAACCCAAAAAAACAAAACCTCAAGATTGGTTAATCTCATGCTCATCTCTGTCATCCATGTGGCCTCTCTAAATTTGAGTTCATAAAACTGCTATTGTATCATTTCAATTTCATACACCACCACCCCAAACACAGCTGAGGCTAAATCTCACACCCAGTGACAAAGCTGTCTTCGAAGCTCCTTACCAAAATATTAACCTCTTAAAGCCTTAGTCTGCTTGCTTATAAACTGAGCAAACTTCCGGTAACCCATAGGGTTACTGTGCTCAGTCTTGGCACCTGTGTATACTAACCCTAAAAACAAGCCGGTCATGCCCTCCACTAGTCTTGAGTTTGGAGACTACAAGAAATGAGATTTAAAAGAAAAATTAACAGGACTGGCTCGGTGCCTGTGGCTCAAGTGGCTAAGGCACCAGCCACATACACCTGAGCTGGCAGGTTTGAATCCAGCCGCGGCCCGCCAAACAATAATGATGGCTGCAACCAAAAAATAGCCAGGCATTATGGCGGGTTCCTATAGTCCCAGCTACTTGTGAGGCAGAGTCAGAAGAATAGCTTAAGCCCAGGAGTTGGAGGTGGCTGTGAGCTGTGATGCCATGGCACTCTACCCAGGGGGACAGCTTGAGGGTCTGTCTCAAAAAAAAAAATAAAAAATAAAAAAATTAACAGGACCTTAAAGCAAATGAAATTAGACTCAAGCAACACTCCTGCCCAGAGGAGCTGAAAACAAGACTCAAGCGGCAATCCTGCCCAGAGGAGCTCAGGTTGTCCCAGAAGAGCCCCAAGTGGCCCTCAGCAACCTGAGGCCCTGGGACACTGTGGATGGGCTGTGACCACGGCAGCCACCGCATACTTGCACATACACCCCTGCCGGTGCCCTGCACCGGACCTCAGCGTCCTTCTGTGACTTTACTGTGACCCAAATGACTGTCAGACAGGCTTTTTCTGCTCTGGTCCCAGCCTTCCCAATCCATCAAGTGAGTCTAGACAATGGCTAAGACTTGTTCGCGCTAAGAGTCTCCACTCAAAATGCTCCAATGTGACTCCATCTACCGTGAGATAAAACCCTAATTCTTCAGAACAGAAAATACAACAACCTCTGAGACACCCACCTCATCTGACCACAACCCACTCCTCCCACCCCTCACCCCATCCTTCCCCTATATGAGCCAAACTGGGTGATTCGTTTCCCCCAAAACAGGATTTACACCCTCTACCAGCCTCATCTGGAAATGTCAGAGGCCATTTTTCGGGACATCTCTTTCTGCTGAACCAAGCCCTAGGCATCTTCCATGTTCTAACTCAAACTCTGCCCTCAAGCAGCAGACACTGCATGGACCCCTGCCTGCTGGAGCTGAAATAATTAGATTTTGCTAAACGATTGAGCAAATAACTACAGAAGTAGTTACAGAACTGACACAACTGCAGAAAAGGAAGAGGAGAGTGCAAGGTAAGCAGGGCACAGGTGGGACAGGAACACACTCTACCCCAGGGACAGGCCAGGCCAGTGCCAGGCCAAAGAGGACAGTCCAGTGAAGAGTGCCAGTGCCTGCCAGTGCCAGTGCCTGCCAGCGCCAGCGAAAGCCCCATGTGGACAAAGCTCACAACATTCATTCTGTGAGACTTGTACTCTTCTCTGTATTTGTCAGGGCAAATGCAAATTAAAACTTTAAGACTAGATTCTCCTAGCTGGAAATAAGGGAGTGACTCCCTCCGGCAAACCTCTTCCTCTTTTTTTTTTTTTTTTTAAGACAGAGTCTCACTCTTTCACTCTGGAAAAGTGCTATAGCGTCATAACAGCAACCTCAAACCCCTGGGTTCAAGTGATCCTCCTGCCTCAGCCTCCTGGGTAGCTGGGACTACAGGTACCTACCACAATGCCTGGCTAGTTTTTCTATTTTTAATAGAGATGGGGATCTCACTCTTGTTCAGGCTGGTCTCGAACTCGTAAGCCCAGGTGATCTACCTGCCTCAGCCTCTCAGAGGGTTGGATTCACAGGCATGATGCATCTACTAGGTCTAAATCTTTTCTTTCAGAATTTCTTCTTAAGTCCTTTTCAAGTGTATGCAAATCTTTCAAACAGCTAAAATAAGCCTCCAGACAGTCTCATAAGTCAAGGAATTATGGACTATCTTGGAAATGTAGTTGAGGATAACACCCCATTTCCCAGTGTAAGGGAGAAAATGGGTCTAACTCGTCACCTGACTCCAAATTGTTAAAATCAGCCTAAAATAATGGGCTGTGCTGTGGTCTGAATGTTTGTGTTCCTCCCCAAATTTATGTGTTGAACTCATACAACATTCATGTGTTGGAATAGAGAGGTGGGGCCTTTGGGAGGTGAGGAGGTCATGAGGCAGAGAGCTCAAGGCTGGGTCAGTTATGACTAAGACCTGAGAGCCTCACTCCACCCCTCCACTGTGAGGACACAGAGACGGCACCATCCAAAGACCAGCGAGGGGCCCTCACCAGAGACTGGGTCTGTTCCTTGATCTCAGGCTTCTTAGTCCCAGAACTGTGAGAAGTAAATTTCTGCTGTTTATAAGTAGGCAGTTTATGGTATTTTGTTAGAGCAACCCAAGAGGATTAAGGCAGGTTGCATCCCCAAAGCTCCCCAAGAGGGTGAGATTTCTGTCTTTGCAAATCATTCCATTTGATTCATGATCATTCCAATCATTCTGGTTCAATGCTTATTCCACAATAAAATTATTTTCTTTCTCTTTTATCTTTGGAGAGATTTTCCAGGTTGGAAGATTTTCTTTTTAATATTACCCCAACATATTTTATACTTCAACAAAGATATTGAAATGTGTTTTTTTTTTTTTTTTTTGATAGAGCCTCAAGCTGTCCCCCTGGGTACTGTGGCATCACAGCTCATAGCAACCTCCAACTCCTGGGCTCAAGTGAGTCTCCTGCCTCCACCTCCCAGGTAGCTGGGAGTACAGGCACCCGCCACAAGGCCTGGCTATTTTTTGGTTGCAGCTGTTATTGTTGTTTGACGTACTGGGGCTAGATTCAAACCTGCCAGCTCAGGTGTATGTGGCTGGTGCCTTAGCCACTTGAGCCACAGGCACCGAGCCTACAGTAACTTTTTACTTTTAGTTTAGGTCTGAAAATAGACACAAAGTTGAAACAATGTATTAAAGGTTATTTTCATACATTTTATTTTGTAAATATACAAAATATGGGGAACCTATATTGACAATATAGGAGGCAGTATACGTTCTGGTCAAAAGGTCAAGGTAGCAAACACTCAGCGGTCAGAGAAACCAACTTCAGCCCGGTTCCAACACCTCCTGAACACCTGACCTTGGGGAAGTCACTTACGCTCAGTAGTTGTGGAGCCCTGTGACACATCATGGGGACTGCGGTCAGCAGACTGTGTGGGCGCTATTTCCTAAAACTGTTGTAAAGGTGCAAAACAATGGGCACTATGACCACCGCAAAGATGGAGAAACCAGCACTCAGAGCAACAAGGTGATTGGTCCGAAGCTGTTAAGGGTGGGGACAAGAAATGACTCTCAACAGCTGGACTCCCTGAACAAGTCTCTTTTTGTTGTTGTTGAGACAGTCTCACTACGTCACCCTTGGTAGAGTGCAGTGGCGTCACAGCTCACAGCAATCTTAAACTCTTGGGTTTGAGAGATCCTCTTCCTTCAGCTTCCCCAGTAGTCAGGACTACAAGTGCCCACCATGACCCCCAGGTAATTTTTCTATTTTTTTTTTTTTGAGACAGAGTCTCACTATGTTGCCCTCAGTAGAGAGCCGAAGTGTCACAGCTCACAGCAACCTCAAACTCTTGGGCTTAGGCTCGGCAACTGTAGCTCAAGCGGCTAAGGCACCAGCCACATACATACAACAGAGCTGGCAGGTTCGAATCTAGCCCAGGCTTGCCAAACAACAGTGACAACTACAACCAAAAAAAAATAAATAAACAGCCGGGCATTGTGGCAGATGCCTGTAGTCCCAGCTACTTGGGAGGCTGAGGCAAGAGAATCACTTAAGCCCAGGAGTTTGAGGTTGCTGTGAGCTGTGATGCCACAGCACTCTACACAGGGCAACAGCTTGAGGTTCTGTCTCAAAAAAAAAAAAAAATCTTGGGCTTAAGCAATTCTCTTGCCTCAGCCTCCCAAGCAGCTGAAACTACAGGCCCCTGACACAATGACCAGCTATTTCTTTTGTTGTAGTCGTTTAACCCACCAACCTTACTGTGCATAGCCAGTACCCTAACTGCTGAGCCCTTGTTGCTTTTTTTCTTTTTTTTGAGACAGAGTCTCAAGCTTTCCCCCTGAGTAGAGGGGCCATGGCGTCACAGCTCACAGCAACCTCAAACTCTTGAGCTTAGGCGATTCCCCTGCCTCAGCCTCCCAAGCAGCTGGGACTACAGGCGCCTGCCACAACGCCGGGTTATTTTTTGTTGTTGTTGTTGTTGTTTAGCTGGTCCAGGCCGGGGTTCAATGCCATCAACCTCAGTGTATGTGACCAGAGCCTTAGCACAGAGCTATGCAGGGGCACCGTCCCCTTGTTGCTTTTTGCTTCTCATTTTTTCATTGTCTTAAATGTTTCTTTATGCCAACAAAACAAATGCAAATAAATGGAAAAGCCTCCTAATGTCACTAACCCAACAAACATCTAACTCTAAAACGGTATTTTTCACTGCTTCACCTTGCCTCCTGGGAGTTTCCTCCCCCGTGAAATGGTTGTTAAGTGCTCGGAATGGCTGTAAGAACCAAATGAGACGGACCCTGTGGGCTCCCTTCAACAACCTGCAATGTAGAGATTATTCAGGAACCCATAAATTGCCATCTGAGAGATGAAAACTCCTGCAAAAGGCTTATTCTTCCCAAAATAAATTCAGATCCAGGAAACTCACCAAGCATGGCCAAGGTGTGCATGATCATATACAGTTGGTCCACAGCTATACCTGGGAACAAAGTTAAAACCAAGTGAAACATATTTGCAAGGAAGGGCTTTCCGCCGTTAAAATAATCACATAATCACCTTTTTTTAAGTAACCACTTCTGCAGGGATGCACAGCCAGGATCCTACTCCCTAGTCGCTCAATTCTCACCTGAAACTGTGAACCCAGCGAGCACACCCGGAGCCCGAACCCTCTGCCCCGCGCCCGGCGAACACGCACCACGAGGCGGTCCCGGCGCGCTCCACGACCAGGGGCTCCTTCCTGCCGGTGAGGCTGTTGTACACCTGCACGCCCGTGTCCTGGCCTGCGGGCCGGAGCCAGGCATGACCGCGCCCTCCGCTCGCCGCCCGGACCCCCGCTCGCCGCCCGAAGCCCAGCGCGGCCCGGAGAAGCGGGGCGCCCAGGCGGGGACTCTTCGTCCGCAGCATAACCTCGCCTGGCGCAAGCGACCGCGAAAGCGACAAGCGACGGCGACGGCGACAGGCGGGGCCACGCAGGGACCGCCCGGCTCCTGGATCCGCCCACGCCGCCAGGCCCCGCCCGCTCCCGGAAGAGCGGTGGGGAAGAGGCAGTCGGGAGGCGGTGCCCGCTCGGGTCTGGCCCGCGCCCTCCTAGGCGAGGTGGGGCCGGGGGCCGCGGGAGACGCTGGCGCTGGCAGCTGCTGCTGTGCTCCTCGCCGCCCCGCGAAGCGAGTCTGCACCCCGGAGCGTACGCAGCACGCGTGCGCCCAACACCATGATTTGGCCAGAGGTCTCGGGATGAAAAGACCAAAGCCCGGAAACTTCCCCGTGGTCAAGTGCGGGTATGCGTTATTTGATTCATTTTTCATTTTAAGATTAAAAATTCTGGCTCGGCGCCTGTGGCTCAAACGGCTAAGGCGCCAGCCACATACACCTAAGGTGGCGGGTTCGAATCCAGCCCGGGCCCGCCAAACAACAATGATGGCTGCAACCAAAAAACAGCCGGGCGTTGTGGCGGGCGCCTGTGGTCCCAGCTACTTGGGAGGCTGAGGCAGGAGACTCGCTCGAGCCCAGGCGTTGGAGGTTGCTGTGAGCTGCGATGCCACAGCACTCTACCCAGGGGGATAGCTTGAGGCTCTGTCTCAAAAAAAAAAAAAAGATTAAAAATTCTATCATCCTATGTCTTGAGAAATCATTCGAAAAGTTACTTTAAATTTTTCTCAACCAATGCGCCTGTGTTGGTATCTTGCAATAAATTTAGTGTCTCCTCCCCCCCCCCCCCCCTTTGTTTCTGCAGTGCTCAAAACAGCACAGAGTTTCCCTCCGTTCATTTTTATTAATTTGCTTCGGTGCCTTATTGAAAAACAAATGATTAAGTAGAGATAAACAAGTGCCTTCCTAGAGCACTTAACATTTTTTCTTTCCACAATATCCTGGAATATAACGCCACAATTTTGTAGTCTAATGTAAACCTGTTCTAATTTATAAGGCTAAAATGTTAGAACTTGGTCAGCATTAGGCGACCCTGACCACTGGTACTCCCTAACTCTTCAATTCTCCTGAGTACACGCTCCTCACTGCCAGTGCTGTAGTTTATTTTGTAACTGTCTCTTGTTTGTAGTGCAATGACTGTTTCTCTAGGTTGTAAATTCTTTCACTATGCCTGGCGCTAAATTGAGAGCTTGTTGGATGTTGCTGATTTAATCTCTTGTGAAATCCACCTGTTGTGCAGGTGGGGAAAAGTTTGGCAGGTATTTCTCTATCAGTAAAATACCTGATAGATAAAGCTCTGATTCAGATATTAAATGTGCCAATAAAAAAGGAAATGAAGAAAAGCTTGGCTGCAGTCTGTAACAACACATGCAATGCAAGGAAAGAACTAGAGCAGAAATTTGGAAAACAGATACAGTGACAGTGAAGACCAAAAGTGCCCATGAATCTGGATAGCTGGCATATTCGAGTTGGCTGCAGAAAATCCTGACTTTTAAATTAACAATGGCATCTTCTGCCTTCAGAAAACTGGTCACATATAGGTTCAGCCCTTGGCTGGCAGCAATTTTATGTTTTCCCAAGGTTTGGGGAATCATCAAGGCAGTGACAAACATAACCCATTGTTTAATGATGATTACAACTATAATCCCTTTAACACTAAATAGTAAGGCAAAGTAAAATGAAGTGAGTTCTATTAGCACATGTGCATAGCTCAAAAGAGGATCCTTTTAATTTGACCTAATCTAGGTCAGAACAAGAAAGTGTATTAAAATCAAGGACTCCAAAATATCACGAATGCCATTTCTTAGTCCTAATGACAACAAGAAGATGTAGTTCTCAGTATTCCATTTTCTTTCAATACAAAATCTTGTAAATCCAAAGTAAGTAGATTACAATAGCATATTGGCTTTTGTGTGTGTGTCTCATTTGGTCTTTTTATTTCTTTATTTGTTTTATTTTTATAATAGCATATTGCAAAGATGAATGAGTTAGCACTGATTTTTTAAGTACCTCAAAACATAAATAATTTGATGTTATCTTTTTCTCCCATAGGTTTGAGCATTTCCAGTTGAACTAGAAATATAATTTCAGAAAAAAGTTTTAACATCTACTTTTCCAAAAAGCGAAACTAAAGCTCAGCGCCTGTGGCTCAAGTGGCTGGGGCGCCAGCCACATACACCTGAGTCGGCAGGTTCAAATCCAGCCCCGGCCAGCCAAACAATGATGGCTGCAACCAAAAAATAGGCGTTGTGGTGGGTGCCTGTAGTCCCAGCTACTTGGGAGGCGGAGGCCGGAGACTCGCTTGAGCCCAGGAGTTGGAGGTTGCTGTGAGCTGTGATGCCACGGCACTCTACCCAGGGGGACAGCTTGAGGCTCTGTCTCAAAAAAAAAAAAGCAAAACTAAGCACTTTTCCTTTAAAATGCATGATGATCAGAGTTAATTATGTTTTATCTATTGGCCTTCTAAGCTTGTTATTATGTAAAGCCAATTAAAAAAAATTTTGAGACTTTTTAGCCCCAGTGGTGTTCCCAGCACACAGAATAGTAATTGCCACATGGTAGACACTCAAGTATTTCTTGTTGAATAGTAAAATGCCTTTTTTGTTTATTGTGTAAGTAAAGTTTGTTAACAAGATAGCAATGAAATGATTCTTCACATAGTACTGTATTACTATTTTTTGAAGATAACCTAGGTCAAACTCCAGCTTGATTACCTTTGGAAGGAGTGAATTATTTCTAACCTTAACTTGTGAGTTCAGATACACTGTTCATTCTAGAACCAATGAATGCTAGGATTGAGAGAACCTCTTTCTTGCTTATTGTCCTTTAGGGGTGGCTCACACCTATAATCCTAGCTCTCTGGGAGGCTGAGGCGGGTGAATTGCTTGAGCTAAGGAGTTTGAGGCCAGCCTGAGCAACAGCGAGATTCAGTTTCTAAAAACTAGCCCGAGTGTGGCGGGCACTTGCAGTCCTTGCTACTGGGAGGGCTGAAGCAAGAGGATTGCTTGAGCCCAAGAGTTTGACAGGGTTGCTGTGAGCTATGATGTGACAGCACTCTATATAAATACATTGCTCATATGCTGTCTGAGGGAAAGTTATAATTTTTCTCATTCAGCCTTGTGCCCCCCTTTGTATACTCTATTCCACATAATGTGAGTCTTGTGCAGACCACTGGGCAATAAATTTTGTTGGAAAAATAACTCATTTATTTTAAACTGGCCTAAGAGCGGACGAAGGGTAGATCTATTAAGTCAAACTAACAACCATTTCTCCGAATACCAAAGCGAAGAACGTTCTTGGGATGTGGCGGTAAAATGAAAGGGCTTGAGAGTGAAGACCAAGTGTGGGACAGTGCTCGTCCCTCCCTGCAGCAGCATTCCAGTGTCAACAACTCTAAACCCAAAACAGCCCCACTTAGTCTCACACAGTGGAGTGCCACCCGTATCCTAAAGCACCCTGCAGATCGCTGTAGTCAGCACCACTGCGGTTCATAATCTATTTTTATAAACATTGGCTAAGTCTAAAATGTTACTGTATTACACAGAACACGTTTTAAAAATTTCAGTGGTTTCTGATGTCATTCAGTATGTCATCACACATTCCAAATCTTAACCCCATGTGTTCCCATTTAAACTGAAATTATTTTATGGCTGAAGTGTATCCTGTTGCGCAACAGGATAAACCGAGACGTACGAGCTGAAAGCCGACACTGTACGAATGCGGAGAGTAAGAAAAATGGAGAGTCGCGCCGGCAGGCCTGAGCTGACGCGGAGACTCCGCGAGGGCGGGGGGCAGAGCTCGGGTCCCAGACACAGTTTGCACTACCGCCGACCCGCCTGCGAAAAAGAACCAGTCTGACCGGAAGGCTCAGAGACCAGGCGCGGCTCTAGAGCCCCAAGGAAAGACCGTACAAAGAGCAAGACAGGGCTCGAGCCAGAAACAAACCCGGGAAACAGCGGCAGCCAGGCGCAGCAAGCGCGACTCTTGGGGCGATCCCAAAGGGGCCCTCGGCGGCCGCAGCCAGGCGGAGCCCGACGCCAAGCTGGACACTCCGCTGTCGGGCCTAGGGGACAAAGGCGGGAGAGCTCGACCTCAGCTAAGCGAACTTGGTCACGCCCAGAGGGGCGGGGTCTGTGCCGGAAGGGGGCGGGGCGGTACTCTGAGCCGGTAGTCAAGGCAACGGGTGCGCTCGGCGTCTGGTCTTTTCAGAAAGCCTTATATCCGGGAGTTTTGGGCGGGGAGCAGAGCTCGGGGGAAGGAGGGTCCCAGGATGCCGGCCAGCAGGATGTCCCCTTTGTTTTGGTGCCTTTTTTGAGGCGCGGGGAGTGGACTAAGAGCGCACTCTATGCCATGGGGCGGGGAAGGAGCACGGGGTCTAGGGAAGGCGTGGCTCCCGCCTACCGGCCCTGAGCTAGGGCTCGACCTCTGGGGACCAGGTTCCCTTTTGGGCCCCTTTGTCTCCAAACCGTTCCAAACTGAGCTCCGAGAGGCGACACAAAGGGAAGGAAGTGACGAGCGGCGCAGGCGCGGGAGCCGCCGAGGCTGCTGGGAATGGTGGTCCGGTCGCGGAGGCTAGGTTTCCTCCCGCGCGGGCCCGCGGCCGCAGCTGGGCGGGCAAGTGCGCATGAGCCTCCACTTCCGTCAGTGCTTCGGCCCACCCTTTCCTTCCACCTCCCCGAGGACCTCGGATTCTTGTAGTAAGAACCGAGGAGGAGTTATCTACGTTCGCCCCGCCTTCTCTCCATCCTGATTGGCCTGCCCAGGTGAGGGCGGCAGGTCTATTGGCTCCCGGAGTTGCCAGGTCTGTGCCAGCTGGTACTTATACCGCGCTGCGGGGCGGCGACGGAGGGAAGAGTAAGGGGCTGAAAGGAGAGTGGGTGGCGGCGTGGTGTGCACTGACATTTTGGAGGCGGCAACCTCTCAGCCCATTCGGTATCGGTCGGATTTTCAACGAAGCAGGCCGCCACCTCGCGTCCCTCGGGGACCGTGCAGCGCCACCCAACAGGCTCAGCCACCAAGTGTCAAACTCCTAGTAAAGTTTGCGCCTCACCGGCCGCCGCCACCCCAACGGCCCCACGGCTGTCCCCTCGGCGACCCTCGCCCTGGGCAAAAGTGACGGGGAAGGCCACGCCCCCCGCGGACTGGCCTCTGGGCCTCACAGCCCCCCAGGCCCGGGACCGTGAGGGGCGTGAATGCGGTGGGGGGCGGGGCCGCCGCCGGGGGGGAGCAGGAGGGGGAACGGGGCGCATGCGCGCTGCGCGGCGGGGCTGAATGTTTCCCAAGTGTTTGAAACTGGTATTTGGGTTTTCCACGTTGGACAAGTGCGGCGCGGCGGGCGGCGGAGCGCGCCCCTTCCCGCTGCCTGCTCCGCTGCGTTCCTCTCCGCGGCCTGGCGGGCGAGTGGGCGGTGGCGGCAGCAGCGCTCGGCCCTCTCCCGCCGGTGTGTGCGCGCTCGTACGCGCGGCCCCCCGCTCCCGCCCCGCCGCCTGGGAGGGGGCCTGCGCGGCCGTCCGGGGCGTGCGCCCGGGGAGCCACCACCACAGCGGCCCGCGCCCGCAGGCGCCCGGGGTCCCTGCGGCCCCGGAGGCGGCGCGGCGGGCTCGGCAGATGTAGTCGCCGGGCTGGGGCCGGAGCCGGCGGGGGGGCGCCGGGAGAGCGAGGGCTTTGCATTTTGCAGTGCTATTTTTTGAGGGGGGCGGGGGGTGGAGGAAGCGGAAAGCCGCGCCGAGTCGCCGGGGACCTCCGGGGTGAACCATGTTGAGTCCTGCCAACGGAGAGCAGGTCCACCTGGTGAACTATGTGGAGGACTACCTGGACTCCATCGAGTCTCTGCCTTTCGACTTGCAGAGGAACGTCTCGCTGATGCGGGAGATCGACGCGAAATACCAAGGTACGGCCGGGTGATGGATGGGCGGGGGCGGCCGCTTCCATCCCCACGGGTCCGGGCGCGCCGCGGCCCGGGCCGGTCCTGCCGTGAACCGGAGGAAGCGGCCGGCTCCACGGCGGCGGCCCTCGGCAGGGGCAGGAACAAAAGGTCTGGGCGCCTTTGATTCGCCAAGGTCCTTGTGTGCAAAGCCCGGGACACGGAGGAGGAAGCAGGCACGAGAGGTCTCGCTGCAAGGCTGCGCGACCAAAGCGCTCTTTGTAGTGAAGTGATGAGGCGGGTGCTGCGGGGGAGGGGGCGGCGGGGCTCCGCCGCGTCCTCTAGGAAGGGGCGCAGCTTACGGCGCGAGATGGAAGGATGTGCGGGCGTTTAGGGCGCGGAGACTGGCTGTTGGAGGGGGGCGGCTGCGAGTCGGGGGCTCCCGTGGACCCGGTGCAGCGGTCGGGAGCGCAGCCGCTTCTTCGGCCCCTCATCGCCACCCCCCACCCAGTCCTGAATCGAATGTTACATAAAGTACGGTGTAATACTCGGCTTGGGGTCGATCGGCCGCCTCCGCCTCTCCGCAGCCCCCTCCGGCCCGCCCTTGGCGCTGGACGCGGAGCAGGGGCCGACCAAGAGGGGCGATGCCGCCGTGCAGTTTGCGGAGGACGAGGGCTTTTCTCTGTGCAGTGTGGAAGGGAAGGGGAGGAGCGGAGGCGAGGAAGGCGCCCATCTGCGCGGCACTCAGGGGGCGCGGGTAGCTTACTGGCTTGGAGGGGAACGTGGCAGGCGAGAGAACCTGTGGGTCTTTCTCCGCAGACCCTGCCACCCTGAGTGTCATGGAGAGGTGGAGGGCTCCTATCCTCCGGGAATTGTTGGCTGTTGGGTAAACTTTCCTGCGAGGTCAGGCAAAGCTATGGGGGTTGTGTTTTGAACGTGGATCGTTCCTCGGAGTTTACTAATGTTTACTGGGCTGCGCAGCAGAGAACGGAAGGTTAAGAGGAGGGTGAAAAAGCAACCTCTCCGGCAACAACGCAAGGAACCTCTGGCGGGCAAAGCGCCCTTGCGCGCTCTACCCAAGAGCCAGCTTCGCAGTGATTTTTTATAGGAGTCTCATTAGCATATTGTGGAACGTCCCGCCTTGGCCTCCCTGTGATTGGTCTTGACGTTCCCCATGGAATGTCCTTATCAGCCTGCTGTAGAACAATTGGTTGCTCTACCGGATGGAGGCGGGTCTTGTTCAGTGACTGGCTTGAGTCTCTTTCGCTGCCTTCTTTTTTTCTCTTTCGAAGAGGGGCGGGGTGGCAGGAGGAGGTCGAGTAGATATGAATGTCTTCGGGTCGCCCGGCCTGTGGCCTTGGATTGGCCCTTGGTGCTGATAAGGCGGGCCATGCTTTCAGACACTGCTCTGTGATTGGCGTTCGCCTCGCCTCCGCCCTCCGTCTCGGCGATCCTCACAGGCGGCATCTCCCGGGGCGTGGCGTGCCGCCCGCTGGCCCCCTCCCTTTGGCGGGAGGTGGCTAGTGTCTCCCTGAGGTCGGTCACTTCCGGCCGAGGAGTAATGGTAGCGGCTGTGGGCTGGGGAGAAAGCTCGGGCCACCTGCTGATTCTGGTGACCCAGAAGACTGGCCTGCAGAGGGCCACGGGCCGCCTCTCTGCTGACCCGAGGGTGCGGCTGCGTGTGACCTGGAGAGCGTGAGTGACTGCGGGCGCCAGCTTGAGGGCTTTTCTATGAAGCTGATCCCGGGACAGGACCGGAAAGGGAGCGGCGGCCGGGACGATTCCGAGCGCTTGACGAAAAAGCGCGCGGGGCGGGGTGAATTCACCTTACCTGGTGTTAAGACGACACAAAAAATCCGTCCTTAAAATGTTCCTACTTCCATGTCAGCGTGCCCACCAAGCCGCTCGTCCCTCCTCTCTTCGTTACTGCGAGGAGCCTGAGGTCGGGTTGTCCTGGGATTTTGCGCCTTTTGGCATTGGGGAAGGTAGTGAGTGGCCCTGCTCCCGGTGTGCGTTTCAGTCGCAAGGCTGGAAGAACTCGGAGCTCCCTCATCCGTCGTGTCTGTCGCCGCTGATTCGGTTGGACTTCGCTGTACATATTGAGATGAAGCTTTGGTATGTACAGATCCACTCTGTAGCAAGCCAAACTTGGTTCACAGTCTTTTGCTTCGTATCTGTTGTAGATTAATCCATAAGGATGGATTATAATTGGTTTACCAATTTTAAGTGATACTGAAGGTTGCTTGAATCATTTTTCAAGTTTTTAATTAAAGTGTTCATCCAGGAAAATCTGTTTATAAAGACCTTAGTTGCAACCTTTGTGTAAAATTAAAGTACGTTTGCTAGGATCTCATGTGATCCGTTCTTTCCATACGCTGTCGCTTTCCCATGGTAACGTTGCTGTGGGACAGGTTTAGTAAGACTCCGCAGCAGTTTGTCTGACACGGAGCCTTTGGAGCTGAAGTGGAGCAGGGTCCTCTGGCAGGATGCCTTCCTATTTAGTACTGGTGTCATTGTTCTCATGGTGTTCCTAGTGGCTTTTGTTGCTTGGGACATTTAAGAAATACATATATTGGTGTTGTGTAGGTAAGAGAATTAAGTCTTGGTAATTTTGTGATTGGGATATTTGTTTATCTTCCCACAAGTGAGGCTTCATGTGGATGTAAGCTTGCTTGTGCTGTAAAAGCTGTATGTTTACTAAACTTTAAATTAGCAGTATAGAATTGTTCTAAAAGAAATGTCAACATTGTCTTTAGAAATTTGAGCACCGTAAACCAAATGATATCATTTTGTAACTTGCGATCCATTAAAAACAAATGGCACAAACTCATATTTTAAGATTTATGATAAATTGGATAAATTCATAGTTGGATAAGTTTACCATAGCTGTTTATTTTCAGAATTAAGTACTCTTAGAGACTGAGACTGTGGTATTCCTCCTTTCTGGTGGCTGTCTCACTTGTTCTCTAGGAAATGTTTTCAGAGCTGTCATTCGTTTGAGAGTGACAACTACAAGGAGAGACTGAGGGAAGGTTCTCAGTGAAGGAAAGTTGATTAAGATGGCTTTAGGCAGAGCTGGGGGGTGGTACAAACCATCCATGTATATGTGTGTGTGTGTGTGTGTGTGTGAGACTTTTTTTCAAAAAGGTTTTCAAAAGGTTTAGTGTTTATACATTTCATTGAGGTGGGAGGGCAGTTCAGTAAGACGAATAGTTATATTCTTGAGAGACTTTAGTGCCCAGGAAATCTAAATTTTACATAAGCTAAGGTGAAGGTTTGAAGAGAAAAAAGGAGTAAAGGAAGAATCAATAATGCAGACACATCTGAGTAGCTAGAGGAATGATTGATCTCATCCAATCTTTGTTGTGCACCTGGGAAGATAAGCTTGTAATCAACAATATCAGTGTGGAATCAGACTTGGGTGTTGGGAACAAGGCCTAGATTGCAGACCTAAGGTTACAATTGACAGGTCCTTGTTCTTGAGAGGCCAGCAAAAGAGTTTCCTAGTGAAGGATCTGTAGATGCCTAAGGCTTTTTACCTTCATTGGGAATCTAACAGCTCTTCTCCGATCTGAGGGGGCTGTTGGTATTATTCAGCCTACAGGCCTGACCTTCCCTTTGATTAAGAAGTGGGGGAGGGATCAACTTGAGATGCTTATTTTCCTTTATAAAAAAGAGTATAGCCTGAAAGAGAATACTTCCTATTTAGGTAAGCTTCAATGTTGGCTTGAGTTCAAATGGTCCACTCTGGCGTACATCTTACACCACTTGGGGATGCGGTCTGGAAAGGATAGTGACAGTGTTCTAGGTGGGCTCTTCCACTCTCACCCTCCACGCACACTTTTGAGTTGGGAAGCAATGTGGTTGCCTGGTTTTAAGAGGCTGCAAAGGGTTTTAGGAGAAAAATAAATTTAATGGTTACTGTTTGAGAAAAATAACTCTGGAAAATTCTATATATTTACATAAACTTTTTGCAAAAATACTTCACTTATTTCAGTTAGATTATTTAAGAGCCTTTATTTTGTAAGAAATTGCCTAATTACATTTTAAAATCACATACACTGTCTTCTAACCTGCCGAAGGAGGTTTGAATTTAAAAGTTGTTTTTGTTTTTCATATTTTAAAATTATTATTAATAGATGTGAAGATATTTTCAGTTGAATAAAATTATTAATAATGTAATAGTCCTTTACATTATTTATAACAGGAACATATAATACATAGGTCATGAGACAGACTGTTGCAGTCCACTATTGCACTTCCAGGTTATAGCTGCTTTATGATTCACCCGTACAGCTTTTGCCTTGGTCAGCCTATTAGTGTTGCTGGGAGGTCTTCCTTTGTTTCTGTTCATGTGGATTTTACATTTCTTGATTTTTATGTATCTCCAAACTTTTGTAATGACTACACAATTATTTGTTGTATATGATTTGAATGCAAAAGTAAAATCTGTCATCTTTGTTTTATTTCAGGGCTAGGTTGTAGATTGGGACTAGGTTGTCTAGTTTATTGTGACCAAATCACTGGTGTTTTTAGTAATTAGAGGAATAGCATGCTAAAATAAACATGAAATGATTGACAAACTGAGGGCCTTGGTCACAAAATCTTCAGGACCTGGTCTGGTTTTTTTTTTTTGAGACAGAGCCTCAAGCTGTCCCCCTGGGTAGAGTGCTGTGGCATCACAGCTCACAGCAACCTCCAACTCCTGGGCTCAAGTGAGTCT